GGGGAATCGTGAACAATAATCAGGCATAAAATTGGAATGGTTGGGTTAAAGATGCCCGATCTTTGCCTGTTCCATCCATGATTGATCACATACGGATCAAAATAATGGAGATGCTAGTTAAACAACAAGGAAAAAGTTTGGCAATGACTGGCATATTGTGCAAGAAAATTCTAAAGAGATTAACAATCAATCATATGGCCTCTCGTTCCTTAAAATATTGTAGATCAAGTAGTACCGCTTTTGAGGTATATGATGAGGACAAGTCGTATAAGGTTGACTTGCAGCACAAGACTTGTTCTTGTAAAGCATGGCAATTAGAGAAACTTCCATGCAAACATGCATGTGCATGTTTGGAGTCAAAAGGATACTCAGTATACGAGTTTGTTGATCCATGCTTTCATATTGATACGTACAAACAGGTATATCAATTCACGATTAACCCAATTCCCTCGTTTGATGAGGACTTTGACTTGTACGATGCGTGTAATGCTCCGCCCGATGTCTTTGTTAATGCACCTGATTCGAGAACTCGACCGGGACGTAGAAAGACAAAAAGAATTCCTTCACAAGTGCAAACTCGTAAACTGAAGTGTACTCGGTGTGGGAAGCCTGGACACAATCGTCGTACTTGCACACAACCAATCTGACTAGCAATTTTTTTTTAATGTAAATATTGTCTGCATTTGTGTTACTTAAACTAACTAGTTTTGTTTCTAATGTAAATTTTATGTTTTTCATCAGGGAGGACAAGATGGAGGAGAGCTTACATGATTGCCCATTATGTTATTCAAGTGATTGAAGTGAATGAAAACTGGCTGTTTGTACTTTATTATTATGTGATTTGTACTATGTTGATTTGAACTTTGTACTATGTTTCAATTTGCACTATGTTTTTGCTATTTGTAGTTTGTACTATGTATTAGGTACTCTGTTCATTGATGGTTTATAATTTTCAGTCTAATGGTACTATTTTTATTTACACATGGTATTATCTATGAGATAGGATGGTATGACTTACTCAATTTATGACCGTTACAATATAGCCGTTGCTTATAATATAGCCGTTGCTTATTGTCAGAACTAGTCAAGTCATAATATGACCATAAATGACACATAGGCTCATTTGTTTCTAATTCATGGCTTCTTCGAGTAGCACCACTCAAATGAGTGGGTTAAAATACAAAAAAGGGAAATGCAAGCGTCTTGATTGTGGGAAGAAAACAATAATCATGGTTTCAGAAACTATTTCGAATCCTGGAAGGTTATTTTACTGTTGCCCACACCATGGCTACTCCTATTGGTGTGAACCATTTGAAGTTGGGCAAAGTTTTTCCAACTCAAATCGTGAAGAAAATGAAGCTACAAGTGCGTCGATGAACCAAGTCCATCAAGAAAGTGAAGTGAAGAATTGCAATTCTGAAGGTGGAGTAGTTCATAGTTTGATAGTGTTGAATCTAGTAATATTTGCAGTCTACATGCTATGTAAAACCTATGTACTGTTGTTTAATTAGTGAACATAAGAGTACAATGTATAAGCTGGTAAAGTTCGGGTTATTCGTGAATATAGTACGCTTTGTTCACCAATTAAGTATAATGTATAAGCTGGTAAAGTACAAGTGAGTCGTGACTATAGTACGATTTGTTCACTGATAAAGTATATGTTTGCCATTCATATAGTATTTTTACACTCTATATATTATTGTCGGGCCAATGCATCCATATGATCGCATTTTAAGACACAACTCTTCAGTTTTAGACTATTAAGAATGAATGGAGACAATGTGGGAGTAGATCAACATCGACTATGGTAAGAATTGAGGAAAGTATTAGTTTTACACTTGAGCAATGTAGACTTGTATGAATATCTTGTATAGTATATGAGTATCATGTATGAAATTCAACATATTTATGGGATCTTGTATTCCAAACGCAACACTAATGCTCACCTACCTTAAAATAATCATTTAAAACATAATTTATGCAACTCCCGTACTTATTGATCATTAAAACGTCGATGAAATTGGTACAATTCAATTCATCAAAAAATATAGTACGCTTTGTTCACCAATTAAGTATAATGTATAAGCCGGTAAAGTACAAGTGAGTCGTGACTATAGTACGATTTGTTCACTGATAAAGTATATGTTTGCCATTCATATAGTATTTTTACACTCTATATATTATTGTCGGGCCAATGCATCCATATGATCGCATTTTAAGACACAACTCTTCAGTTTTAGACTATTAAGAATGAATGGAGACAATGTGGGAGTCGATCAACATCGACTATGGTAAGAATTGATGAAAGTATTAGTTTTACACTTGAGCATTGTAGACTTGTATGAATATATTGTATAGTATATGAGTATCATGTATGAAATTCAACATATTTATGGGATCTTGTATTCCAAACGCAACAATAATGCTCACCTACCTTAAAATAATCATTTAAAACATAATTTATGCATCTCCCGTACTTATTGATCATTAAAACGTCGATGAAATTGGTACAATTCAATTCATCAAAAAATATAGTACGCTTTGTTCACCAATTAAGTATAATGTATAAGCTGGTAAAGTACAAGTGAGTCGTGACTATAGTACGATTTGTTCACTGATAAAGTATATGTTTGCCATTCATATAGTATTTTTACACTCTATATATTATTGTCGGGCCAATGCATCCATATGATCGCATTTTAAGACACAACTCTTCAGTTTTAGACTATTAAGAATGAATGGAGACAATGTGGGAGTAGATCAACATCGACTATGGTAAGAATTGAGGAAAGTATTAGTTTTACACTTGAGCATTGTAGACTTGTATGAATATATTGTATAGTATATGAAATTCAACATATTTATGGGATCTTGTATTCCAAACGCAACAATAATGCTCACCTACCTTAAAATAATCATCTAAAACATAATTTATGCATCTCCCGTACTTATAGTACCATGTGTTCAAAAGGCAAGTACATTTCATCGAAACATATAGTACAATGTATACAATGAAAAAGTACGAGTAGAGCTAATCAATAGTATTATTAGCTCTACAACAAAAGGACAGATTGTTTATGGCGTAAAAATACATTCACCTGTTCATTAATTAATTACAAAAAAACACAAAAACCCCAAACCACTTCCACTCCCAGTTTTTTCACAATAACGCCAGATCTATTTCATATTTAGCTTCCACTTCTACTCCCCGATGGCTCAGAAAGATAGCTGCTAGTTTTGGGCGAAGTGTTTTGATATCGCAAGTTTTTGCCTTAAACCAAATATCTTCACTGTCTACAGCATGACAATATGCCCACATGCAGACAAACAAGCCGCAATCAAGGTTCCCATCCTGCTGCTTGCATCCATGAACCCATTTAGCTTCCGATTCTATCTCCAACCCAGACCTTCTTTCAATCACCTTGCTGTAAAACAAGGCCTACGAAAATAAAATATTATATTAGTCTACAACAATTCGCAAGAATAAAGAATAACTAATTACAAGAATATGGGCTTACGACATAATTCCAATTCCTGGGAAATTCGGAGAATAGTCTATGGAGTTCCAATGGTAAATACATTTATCTATTGGGTTTAGAACAAGCAGGAACCAGTGTTCACTGGAATTGAGAGGTATCATGACAAACTTTTTACTGAAGATATTTGCTGTGTTTAGCTTGTCAAAAGCCATCGTTCCAAAAATAGTAAAATCATTGAGAAGACGATCAAACTTGGCATCGCTCATTCGTTCTACGTCCACCCGAGGTCGCGACAGTAACTCTTGCTACGAAACATAATAGAGAATATTAGATAAACATTGTAATGTATGCAACATATTTGTTAAACCACTATATACCTGGGCAGGGGAGTCAAGGTAATCAATCTCATGTCCATGCTGGTTCATGATAGATTCGGAACATAATAGATTCAAGTACAAATCTATGTGTTCTGCACTCAGCATGTCATCAAATAAAAGTTCGCACATATGCCTTCCCGTCAATTGATGTGGGCCTCTCTCCACAATAGTTTCACTACAGTAAGACATAACCACGTACTATTGGATAAGTAAACTTGTACTATGTACAAAGTTACTACATACTATAACATGCAGTGAACATATACTATTGGATAAGTAGACTTATACTATGTACAAAGTTACGACATACTATAACATGCAGTAAACATGTACTATTGGATAAGTAAACTTATACTATGTACAAAGTTACTACATACTATAACATGCAGTCAACATGTACCATTGGATAAGTAAACTTATACTATGTACAAAGTTACTACATACTATAACATGCAGTCAACATGTACTATGCATTCACTTGACATATACCATTAAAGACATTAACATGTACTATCAAGGTGGTTGTGCTCTTACACTAAATCAACACTTTCCAAGAACTGATCCAACAATATCCTATCTTCTTCGGATATTTGGTCACGACGTACGTAGTCCTTTCTTCCCCGGTAATAATCGGCATTCTATATAACGAATAAGTCACACCAATTATGACAAAAAATAATAATAATGTAATACTAATATTAGATAAAAATACCTTGATCCCAGGGACTGAAACCGAAACCTTGGACACATGAACTTGTTTACGGCCACGTCCTCGTCCTCGTCCTCGCACGCGTGGAACTTTGGCCTTTGACTTTGACTTTGGCCTTTGACTTTGACTTTCGTCTCCTTCACCTTCCATCCCCTCTACTTCATTTTTTTCTCCTTCCTTTTCCCTTTCCTCTATCTCTATCTCTGCCTCTATCTCTATCTCTTTCTCTGTCTCTGTCTCTCTCTCTTTTTCTGTCTCTCTCTCATTCTCTCTCTCATTCACTCTCTCTGTCTCTTTCTCTTTCTCCTTCTCTTTCTCCTTCTCTTTCTCCTTCTCTTTCTCCTGCTCTTTCTCTATCTCTATCTCCTTCTCTTTCTCTATCTCCTTTTCTTTCTTTCTCTTACTCTGCATTTTTTTTTCTTTATTTTTTTCTTCTGTTACATTCCCCCTCTTCCTTTTTAAGTTATTCTTCTTATGCTGCAACTAAAAAAAACAATAGTACGAAACATGTTATACAATAGTATTATATTAGTTGACATATAGTATGTTCCAATGTGAATGGAAGTATGAATTTTAGGGTTTATTGTATTAATGACTTACAGGTGTTGCTTCCACGTCTCCAATCTCATCTTCACTACTCTCAGAACTTATTTCAACAAATCTGTCAGCACTAATTCCAACAACTGGACCAGAAATTACTTCCAAAACCGGAGAAAGCAACGCTTTCTCTTTCGGGTACACATAAAATGGTATAACCTAATAAACGTAAAAAAAATGTTAGCAAATACCTAATACATTACATATTTTGTAACTCAAAGTGTTACCTGCACTTGTTTTATCTGATCAAAAAGCAACCTAGCTGCTTCTTCATCGATTGGGATTTTGCTGTCTTGCCACCGGAAGAACCGGGGAAATTTTTAAACACTGGTGCTAACCCCTAGTAACGTGATCCTTTCATGCACCCATGCCTGCGTATTTTGGAATCAATATTAATTGGTATATTCAATATAACATAATATATATTCACTATTAGATATCACTTACCAATAAGCCGATAGTGCATCCATCAAAATACTTCAACCCCCCCTTCAGATGCCTCTCCATATTCTCAACAAGAATATCATACACCAACTTTCCCCGTGCAAAAGACCCTAAAACCTCCAAATCTTCTACATGCGGATAAACCCACCTTTGTAACGTTTTGTTCCCCTTTGGCAGTAGAATAGTAAACAGATAAATAGTGTACAATCTGCTGAAATCTTCAACAGATTGTTGATCGGTCATAACTGCATAGGCCTCCAGTTTATAACCAATATATGGCCTCGTCATTAAAGATAACTTACCATCAAAAATACGTGTGATGAAATCAGTGTCTCTGCCATCCATATTCACATCCACCGGTACGCCTTCGTACTGCAGCCCTAATACGATAGATAATTGCTGCGGAGTGAATTCCAAGCGTATAGTATTTCCCCCAAACCAGAAGGCCCGATCTTCTGGATTGTACGCTTGCATGAGAGACACAACCCTATGGAAGCTGTGGTTTATTTTAGGCATGTCCATGTAGTGATAGAAGGGATTTTTCTTCAGTACTTCATGATGTTGTTTCTTCATCATTTTTTTCACACCTTCCATACTTGTTTGAAAGGCGATCGGTGAGCACCTGCAGCCTATTGATAGCTTGCTGCCTTCTTCTTTTACAACAATTCCTGCAATTACATACACATAAAACAAATACAATTATAACAAATACAACGTACTATAAAGTTCCACATGTCAATACCATCTCAAGTTACTAGTAATACCATTCAAAGGCACTAGTAATACTATTATGGCATATGACTTATACTACAGGACAATCAAACGTTATACTTCTAGTACCACATGTCAATACCATCCGAAGTCACTAGTAATACCATTCAAAGGCACTAGTAATACTATTATGGCATATGACTTATACTACAGGACCATCAAACATTATACTTCTAGTACCACATGTCAATACCATCCGAAGTCACTAGTAATACCATTCAAAGGCACTAGTAATACTATTGTGGCATATGACACATGCTACAGAACCATCAAAGATTATACCATCTAAATGCACTATTAATACCATTACTGCGCATGACACATACTATAGAACCATTACGAAAAATACAATAAGCCTCTTTCCCATATCCTATATGAAACCCTTGTTAGGACTCAAAATGCTTTGGGGACATGCTAATGTCACCGAAGAATAATACCCATGAGAAAACTGTTACAAAATCATGAAATTCGACAACAAATAAATGATCTTTGAAAACCCAAACAACAGAACAACAAATATTGGAACCGATTTAATGATTAGGGGAAACACCGAATAAAGTCGAGGCATAATACCCATGAGTGGATATGTTCAAAATCATGCAATTCTATAACAAATAAACCTTTTTGCCCTGCTTAAGCAACACCCAAATGGGTCTGTTTCCAAGAAAATGAAAAAAAAATAAAAAAATCAAACCTTTTTGTTTGCCCTGCTTCACCATTGTTTATAAATGGGTTTGTTTATTTCTATTTTTCCGTTCGCTTTATACTATTTTTCTGCGGTTTGTTGATTCTTCGTGCTTCGTAATTTCTTCTTTCTTTGTTGTTTCTCTGTTCTTCGTTTCTCTGTTGCGTTTCTTCTTGGTCTGAAAATGGGTATAACTGAACGGTGGTTATTTTTCTGCGCCTTTTTAGCTTCTTTTTTGTTGTTTGATTTTTGAAATGTAACGGGCAAAGAGCGTGTAACACAAACGGCGCGTTGGAAGTTGAAAAGAAGTTATGTAAAATTAGTATAAAGTAAAGGGTATTTTAGTATTTGCACATTTTATTAGAGACTGATCTGCATGTTAGGCGCGTGAGTAGGGACTGAATTGCTTGGGGAAACTACCTAGGGACTGATCTGTGTTTCAAGTTTTGGATTAGGGATTTATCTGTAGTTTCCCCGCTTTACTTTTCGTTTCGCGGGCCTCTAAAATATAATAAACCTAATTATTCTTATAGAAAAAAGTAAAAGAAAAATAAAAAAGACACTTCCACCGTCAAAACTCATCGGACAAAAACCCCAATTCTGTGAAAACCTTTCAAATTCTTAAAGGAAGGTGAATCTCGTTGAGGCAGCAAACGAAGAAAACAAGAGGCACGCGGCCGGGAAAAATAATTCAGTAAGGAGTTTTCTCTATAATTATTCTGTAAGGAGTTTTCTCTAAGATCTGTTATAGGCACGCGGCCGAGGGAAAATTCAGAATTTTTCCTTACCAGGTAATTTCTCGAATTATGATATATTGATTTTCATCTATTTTTGAAATTATTTGTTGTATTATGCTGGAATTGCCGCTAATTTCATGTATTATTTACCTAATTAGTATTTTTGACATGAAAGGCATTACACCGTGAAGGGTTGAAAATTTGATAGTTATCGACCATATCTGTTTGCAAATTTTATTTTCCAAAAAGATTGTCATTATATTTTGTATGTATTTTGTAGCTTTTTGTTATTTAGTTTTCTTCGATTACACGAGAAGATATAAAGAGTATATACTTCATGATTATCCGAACTGGTTGCAGGAAAGGGGAAAAATCACTGGACTGAGATTGAGAGTTGTTAGGTGGACTCAAAGATTTTTTTTATAAATAACACCTATATGTACTTCAGGTATATACATCTAGTTATAGCTATATACAAGAGTATACAAGTGTAAATATATAAATGTATATCTTTTCTACTGTCTCATACCTATACTTGCGTGTCTCATTAGTACGGAATAAAGTTATATTATAAATTTCATGTTGCTTATGTTACTTACCATATTGTTTAGGTTTTGAGTAAGAAATCAATAGAAAAATATTTTAGACTTTTTTTTTATCTTCGAATTGAATCTGAGAACATGTGTAAAGAGTATAAGGAAAATCCCGATTCTAAAAAAACTCGTGTTGAATCTATTGTCTTAACATTTCACCTTTAACAAGCATTTAATTTGAAGTACCTTAATTCTTGTATGCAAAGCCTGTTGTTTATTTCAATTTTTTATATTTTGTTGGCCCACTATGTGACATATGTATGTATGGTGTGCAACTTTAGTATTACGTAGTTATGTTACATTTAAGAAATTTGCATATAATGCATTGTACTATACTTGTGATATACGTATGTATCATCCAATTACGCACTTCGTTATAAGATGAGCGTATTTATGAAACAGGTTTTCTTCTAGTTTATTTTTTCAATTTTGTTGTGACTTGGTCCATTTAGATGGAAACTATTAAGTTTAGACCTTCAAATCCGAGATCAAAGTTCAAGTTGGTCCCAACATGAGAAGCTATGTGGAATACAATCTTATGTGAATACTTTATTTTTTAATTGCGTGAGAAATAAGTTTAAGTTATTAAATTTTGTGTTATTGATTAAGTTGATAATTTATCTTTAATTTTCAAAATACTGATATGTTGCTTGTTTATTTGGATTTTAAAGTTTAGTTGTGTAACAACCCGCATTTTCATAAGCATTTATATATGATTATATTTAACATATAGTAAATACGAATATACGTGCATTTCATGAATCGAGTAGCAATTTATACGTCATCTATGTGTTTATGTGATTTAGATACATTATAGTATTTTTAGAAGTAGACATTATTAGTAATTGAGTAGTTGATTCTAATGATGTGATTTAATGAATTATGTGCTTTAGTCCATGGATTTTAATGATGTGCTTTAATTGATAATTAATCTAGGATTGAGATGTGTGAAATTAGTTTTCGTTATAGTTTAATTGGTATCTTATGAAATTTATATGAATTATATGTTTTAGTGTGTGTGTATTGGCCGTGTGTTGTGGGAAAATGAATTACTCCCTAAGTTTATTAATTACAAAGGACTCCCCTCTTCTCCTCTATATTGCTAAGAAGCCCCAAGGTATGTTCTCCCAAATTGCTAATAAAACCCCAATGTCTTTTATATTGCAAATAAGGGCCTCATCTCCCCTATAAATAAACCCCTCCTCTTTACATTTTCTTCACACCAAACATCAGCCAAAAGGCCCTCTCCCTCTTCATCGACCAAAAGCCCCAAGAAGAATTCTCTTCTTGCACTTCAAGAAGCTCCTCTCAAATCCCCTTCCTCTTCTCTCTTCAATTCATCTCCTCTCCTCTCGAAAAGAGAAACTCCATCTTCTTTCTTCAAGAAACAGCCCCTTCACATCCTTCAAACTCAGCCCCAAAGCCATCCAAGAACATCCGAGCCAAACCCGCCGAAAATCCACCGAGCCTTTGGTTTTCTTACTCCTTCTTCTTCGATTCTTCGATTTCTTGCTCTTGGGTAAGGACGTTTGTCTTTACTGAAATAATAACCTAATTAATATAAATTATATGTGTTTTTAATGAATTTTATGTTTGAGTTTTAATTTTGAGCTTTAGAAGATAAAGTTCTTGAGGAACACTACTTGAATTTCAGTTTCGTAGCTTCTGATTGTATTGCATGTTTCATCGGGTAATCCCTAAGATAAAATTATGAAATTTGGTGGTAGTCTAGATCTTTCGGTTAGCTTCATGTGGATACAAATTGTGCATAAATCGGATTTGTATTGAGTGAGTTATGAATCGTTTTCTGAAGCTGCACAGTTTCGGAGTCATCCACGAATTATGTGTTAAATAGCTTTTTATACTACTCTTATTGAAGTGATTTCACTCGAATATGATTATGTACTTATGAAACTAATATTCTACGAAATTTGGTAATTTTTGGATTAAGTGATGAATTATTTGGTATTTTTAAAGTTAGTGGATCTGTTCTGAATTTCTGCTTATGTTACTGCACTAAATTGATTATATCTCTTACATAGGTGAGTTTCTTCATAAACTGTTTTAACCCTATAAACTAGACTTAGATATGAACATGTGTTCCAAATTTCATCAGGTTTGGATCTACGGTTTAGGAGATATGAATTTCTGAAGTTATAGTGCCTAAATTGCCAGATCTGTTTTGATCAAAGATGTAGATGTAGATCACTAATGAATTTTCAGGTTCTCAGCCTCGGAGTTTACTGCATGTTTCACAGATTCCCTGTTTTCCTAAAATCACGAAATTTCATGGGTAACTAGATCTTTCTGTTCTCTTTAATTTGATATATTTTAATCATCAATCGGATTTCAGATGATTAAGATATG